GGTTACACCGCCATTACATCTCTCTCGCGGTTACACCGCCATTACATCTCTCTCGCGGTTACACTGCCATTACAAAAACACACCTTCGGTCCATCGGACCTCTGGTTTCAAACAATACTTAGAAAATATTTCGACAACCAGGACCAGAGCCCCTCTAGTCTCTCTTCCAGAGCTGCTGGTCTTCACGACCAGAGCCTCTGTTTCTAAACCACATTTAGAAAATATTTCAACATTCTGGACCAGAGCCCCTCTGGTCTCTCCTCCAGAGCTTCTGATCTTCACAACCAGAGCCTCTGGTTTAACCAACCAGACTTAGAATATAATTCGACAATCAGGACCAGAGCCCCTCTGGTCTCTCTTCCAGAGCTTCTGGTCTTCACGACGAGAGCCGCTGGTTGAACTAATCAGACTTAGAATATATTCCAACATCCTCGACCAGAGCCCTTCTGGTCTCTCTACCAGAGCCCCTCTGGTCTCTCTTCCAGAGCTTCTGGTTTCACAACCAGAGCCTCTGGTTCCAAACCATACTTAGAATATATATTTGAACATACTCGACTAGAGCACCTCTGGTCTCTCTACCAGAGCCCCTCTGGTCTCTCTTCCAGAGCTCCTCTGGTCTCTCTTCCAGAGCTTCTGGTCTTCACGACCAGAGCCTCTGGTTTAACTAACCAGACTTAACATATATTTCAACATATTCGACCAGAGCCCCTCTGGTCTCTCTACCAGAGCCCCTCTGGTCTCTCTTCCAGAGCTTCTGGTTTCACAATCAGAGCCTCTGGTTTAACTAACCAGACTTAACATATATTTCAACATATTCGACCAGAGCCCCTCTGGTCTCTCTACCAGAGCTCCTCTAGTTTCAAAAGATATGACCAACCAGAGAACCGGTCACCTCTTGTCCGATTTAGGATTAAGTCCGGACAACACTTGAACGGTTTATTGTCCATATACATATAATCCACATACATATTATATTCATAATGACCAGTTCCAAATACTACTAAATTGTATGTAAACAATTTATACTCAAAGCTTTCATACACTCACCTTAGAAATCAGATATCCTATCTTTGAATTCTCTTCTTCTTTTTCTGCCAATCCGTATGATTCACCAAGGAGTCTTTTCTAATATAAAAAGTGTTTCAAAGGTGTGCTCAACTTATTTTTCTTTCACATACACTTGCTATTTATAGTAAGTGTATGACCGCCCCTCAAAGGTCGGCTAACATAACCACGTCACCCACACCCACACACTTCTACATAAAATATTCAGATAAACA